TATATTCCCTTCCCCCTTGTCCTTCCCCGCAGCCCAAGGGTAGACACAGGCTGAGAAGAAGAGCAGGTCCTTCCCCTAAGTCCCCACATCACAGCTCAGGTGGCAAGAACTGCTGGAGGCTCTGGGGGGAATTGGTCACACTCATGGAGGACCAGCCACAGATGCTTCCCTCCCACCTACCCCCATGCTCTGGAGACCAGCCTTTCTCACAGCCCAGGAGGATTCCCAAGCGCTCCTAAGCTCCTTGGAATCCATGCCTGAGAACATGAGGCCCAGAGGGAAGAGGCACCCCATTCTGCCTGTCCAGGGCTGGTCTTCCCAGCCCTGCCCAGGATGACCGAGGGAGGCAAACTCCACTCCCTTCATGGGAGAATCCCACCTCTCCCTGTAAGGATGTGCTCTTGTCCTAACACCCCAATGCCACTTTTCTCAGAGTGCAGATGCGCACATGCATTGGAATCAGCCGAAGCACATGGCAAAATGCGGATTCCCAGGTTCCATCCCAGACTCATTAAATCAGAGCATGGAAATGTGGCCCAGAATCTGCTGGAAGAGACTGCAAGGCCAGTGTGTTCCTTGAAGGAGCCAGAAGGTTTTGGTCTTAAACATTACACGTTGGGTAATACAGTAATACAGGCTGGACTGAGCTTCCCCAAGCTTGTTACTCCTGTAGGAAGAGGGGTTGGGGCTCACTGTTCTTCTTCAGGCTTCTGGGTCTCAGCTCTTGACCTCTTCTGAACAGCCACTCAAACAGGAACACACATTTTCAAAAGGTCCATGACTACACAGGCAAATGGCGTCCAACACCTCACTAACGGAAGGAGCATTCCCAGCAGGAATGTGATGGGGGGGGGGGTGCAGCTCTGCCCACAGCTGGGCCCCCTTGTCCCTTAGCACAGAGAACAACAGGGCTTTGGGGGGGGGGGTCAGCTTCTCAAATGTCTTCATTTCAGAGATCTGCAGTCTTTGCTTTCCATTTGCATAACCAAATGGTTGGGTCAAGTGATTTCACCAGCCCAAGGAGTAGCTGACAAACGCCACCGTGTAGACAGGAGGGCTGGCCTCATGGGATGGGTGACCTGGTCATTTGAGGGGATAATTACACCCAGGCCAAAGGTGTAAACTGAGTGGTCCAGGCAAACAGGAACAGATGAGTAGCCTCCTGGTGGGCTAGAGGTGGTGGTTTTGGTTTTGCTTTTTGTATTGCGGTTGGCATTGCATTTTTCAAAAAATTGAGCCCATGCTTTGAAACCAAAAGTTTCAAATAAAAGTCCAGGTTGCTGGCTCTTCTGGAAAACTTCAGAAGGTTGAGACCATCAGGCCTGCCTCCTCTCGCACAGCAGCTCAGTCGCGGCTCCCCCTTCAAGCCTGGGTGCCGGCTCCACAAAGCCATCCCACCCCCGACTCCCCACGGTGTCCCCCAGGAGGCCAGGCTCCCTGGGCAGTCATTATTGCTGCTTGCTCTGTTCTTTCCTTTTACCAGCTTAGTGCCTCTCGGCCTGCCCTGCCCGGACTCAGGCCCACGTGGAGGAGAATTCGGGTCTCCCCTCCTGAGCCAGAACATTAGCTCAGAGCCAGGACTGGAGCACCTGGTCACACCACTACCCAAATAACCACAAATAGACTCTTTTCCATGAAACGTTCAAGCAATTTGGGAAGGAAATTTCTCCACGCTTTATGCCAATGACCTGGGCTAGCATTTTCTCATCTTTCACCTGGATTTGGCCAGTTCTATTTCTCCTGGAAGCTTGGCACCCACGGAGTGTTCAAACGTTGTCACCTGAGATGTTTTCCCTCGTGGTGCCCACAAAGCCTGCAAGCTGGGGATGAACGTCTGACGAAGGGGGATGTGAGTATCAGATCCCAGTATTACTTTGCCCGGGATTTGTGACCAAGGGAGTAGCTTTTGCTTCCAGAGGGAGTAGCCTATACAGAGTCCTTTGGGGTCCTCCTCGTCCCCCTACTGTGCAAATATCCTGGCAGCTGACCTTAATACAGTTATATTATATATGGCCTTGTCACAAGCTTTGTTTGTCAAAGTTTCGAAGGGTGGACCCACCAAGAGAGCAGGGGGCAGCCACAAAGGCCTCAGGCAGCAAGCCCAGGGAGGCCCCCGGAAATCTCCATTCTTTTTAAATTTTAAAGCTAAATGAAAAAAGCTTAGAGATTGCAAATTTCATTTAACAACTAATAAGATGGAGCTATGCTTCTAATTTGATTCTAAGAAGACACTTTCTTTACACATTCCCAAAACAATGAAATTGATTTGGCATCTTACAAAAATTAAATATGATTTAATTAAGTGGCATTTTAAAAGCGTTAAAAGGCACCCAAATGTCTAGCTTGTTAAAGCACAGAGCATTTTTGCCTTCAGTCAGGAGCAAGCCATGTTTCCTGTTTCTCTGAAGGAAAATATATATTCAAGAAGACATGAGACAGGGGAGCAGAGGAGAAGAATAATGGCACATTTCTTTAGACTGAAAAAATGATTATATTTCCAAAGAGAAAGCTCTTCATAATTAGTGCCAGAGAAGAGCTGGCATATAGACATATGACATATATAGATGTCATATAGGCAGAGGATCTCTATGTCGAATTCTTGATTTTATTTTATTTTTTTTAAGATTGTATTTTTCCTTTTTCTCCCCAAAGCCCCCTGGTACACAGTTGTGTATTTTTGGATGTGGGTCCTTCTAGTTGTGGCATGTGGGATGCCGCCTCAGTGTGGCTTGATGAGCAGTGCCATGTCCGCGCCCAGGATTCGAACTGGGGAAAACCTAGACTGCCGAAGCAGAGCGTGTGAACTTAACCACTTGGCCATGGGGCCAGCCCCTTGACTTTATTTTAAATGTTTATTTGAGAAGTAACCCCCACCGACACACACTCACACGCACACACACACACACACACACACTCATATGCAAAGAAAACATCAATTCTACCACTGAAAACATTTACCATATGGAAGAAACGATTGTCCTGTAGGCCTCTTCCTTCCACCCACCCCACCCACCTCTCCAAACCTACCACCCAGAGGTGCCCCTGTAACTTTTTCCAGTAATGCTGACGCATACATCATTTAACACTGATCTAAACTGAAACACAGCACCTCGGGCACAGGCATCTCCCGGAAGTTGCATGCACTTGGGTTTTTCTTGGAATCTGTGTGCAATCTTGTTTTACTTGTCCTTCCACTCTGGTCATGGAGGGAAGGAGAGCAGGTCCTGGTGGTGGTTGGTGAGGGAGGGCTGCTCTGACAGCACAAATACAGGCTCGGGGGGGTGTGTCAGAGGAGGGCAAGGTGGCTGCACAGAAGGCAGATGGGCAAGCTTGCAAATTTATTTCTCAGCAGAAAAAGTTTTGGTGGTGAAAGTAGGAATCACTGTTCAAGGAGGAAGAAATTGATTCAAGATAGGATGTTTAGACCGCGAGCAAATGTTTTAGTCACATGGGAATAAGGTCAATGTAAAAATGTTAAGGTAAAAAAAAGATATGCAGGGGGCTGGCCCCGTGGCCGAGTGGTTAAGTTCGCGTGCTCCGCTGCAGGCGGCCCAGTGTTTCGTTGGTTCGAATCCTGGGCGCAGACATGGCACTGCTCGTCAAACCATGCTGAGACAGCATCCCACATGCCACAACTAGAAGGACCCACAACGAAGAATATACAACTATGTACCGGGGGGCTTTGGGGAGAAAAAGGAAAAAAATAAAATCTTAAAAAAAAAAAAGATATGCAATGGCTACACACAATGTGATCCTAAATTGGTGAAATCAGTTTCTATATATATCTACCTCCATATGAGTGTTCGGACATAAATAGAAGAAACCCAAATTGAAACATACCAAATGTTATCAAATTTATACTTTATCCTTATCTGTATTTTTCCATTTTGCTATAATGAAAATGTCTTTCTCGTGTAGTAAAATGTTTATATGAAAACAAAGACAGAATACGACATCTATGATAACTTAAAGTGGTCTTTGAGAAAAAGGGACTAAATCTAGGATTCCTAAAGACGTGTGAAAACCGGACACCAGGAGGAAGGATTTTTTTAGCTTCTTGTTCTCAGTAAGGACGACTAAATATTTCCGAAGAATCCTAAGTGATTCATAGTCGCTGAATGAAATCTGGTAAATGAAGCTTGGGCTGAAAATGGAAATTCCATCCCCCATTTCATCACACTCGAGAAGGAACTTGACAAGTGGTTTCATCGAGTCCCAGAGACCTTTGAAGTTCTGGGGTGCAGGGGGTTTGAGGCTGCCTGGAGCATTGGACAGGGTGGCCCCCAGGTGCAGCGCAGTGGCAGGGAGCAGGGTGGCCGCCTCCCTGAGGGGTGTGCGCTCGGACCTGGCTGGCAGCCTTGTGGAGGCTCTGAAAGCCCTTCTCTTTCAACACGGCGCCCAGAGTCTTCGGCGAAGGAATCCATCTTTCTTCTCAAAGGTATGATGCCTTCTTCCCATGACCTCACGTTTAACGTCATCGGATCAATATCTGCATTTCTCCCCTCTCCTTTACTCTATAGCCAAGAATATATGCTGCAGTTTGGTGCATAGGATGTGAAAGTAGAAAGAACATCGTTTGACATGGCTGAGTTTTACATCGACCGTAACTAAAACCCTTCCTTAACTCCGAGGGACTGTGTTTTCCTCCAGGGGGACAGGTGAGCCACTCGACCCTCCTGCCCTGGCCTCTTTCCAGCCCTCTTCAGAACAGTCTGTTGGAAGGCAGATTATTTTCTTGTTTTAAAGGAGAATGGCTGAAGATTTGACTTTAGGTAATTATATGTTAGCATTTTAAATATCATTCCGTTCGGAGTAAGAAATAAATCCGTAGGAATAGCCAGATTCCCAAATACTGACATTAACTTTCGGTTCAGATTTTCAAAGGCCACTATTCTCCCTTCCCCAGCCCTCCCCTCTCCTGCCCATCTTTAATTTTACCTCTTTGCTTACTACGGAATGGAATCTCAGGTGCTTCTGGCAACTATGCGTTATTAGTAAGGGATGGCGCCTTGTTATTAGATTGCATTTTATTGTTTCCTTCAGCTCAACGTGTACCTGATATTGGAGGGCTCTCCCTATGGGTAGAGACTGAGAGATGCTGCAAATGATATGGTTTCATGATTTTTGTGGGCCCCATGTCCTTGCAGCCAGGTGAGAAGTCCTATGCCGTGCAGGCTGAAGGACAGGCTGGTGTTGCCTCGTTCGGAGCGGCAGAGTCCAGCGTCGACGGCCCAGAATGGCCGCTTTTGTTTGTATCACAGAACAGCCGGAGGCAGCTACTGTTCCGCTGACTTCACATGCCTGTTCCGTGAGGACATCAGTAGGCATTTAGCACGGCTATCCTGGCCGCTGCGCACAGGGGGTCTAGGTCACCATCACCTCCTAGGGAAACAGATACAATTTTATTTTGGTCAGCTTTACATACAATTTCTTTTTTTCTTAAAGATCGGCACCTGAGCTAACAACTGTTGCCAATCTTCTCTTTTTTTCTGCATTTTCTCCCCAAATCCCCCCAGTACATATTTCTATCTTTTAGTTGTGGGTCCTTCTAATTGTGGCATGTGGGACGCCGCCTCAGCATGGCCTCATGAGCGGTGCCATGTTGGCGCCCGGGATGCAAACCAGTGAAACCCTGGGCCGCTGAAGCGGAGCACGTGAACTTAACCACTCGGCCACGGGGCAGGCCCCAACAATTTCATGTTGTATAAGACATACATCCAGCTTCCACTAGAAGAGCATTTTCAAAGTACACAGACACGTAAATTTTTAACTAGCCGTTAGTAAAGTATTAGTGGATTGCCAAAGCTTTTGCTTCTGAGCAGAGTGAGGTAGGCACAATGCCAGCCTTCCAGGCCAGAAGGTCTCCAGGGTAAAGAAATTCTTACAACATTGCTGATAAAGCTAGGCACTGCTGGCATATCAACTCTAATTTCTTAGCAAGCCTCGATAGAATAATCAAATGGAACAAAAACCATTTTGAAGGCAAATAATAATGAAACACACATTACTACAATGCAAAAAAAAAAAAAAGGAAAAGAAAAAGTAAAACAACTTATTATCCCTAAATTCCCACCAATCCTTGGAAGTCTAGGGCTAAAACTTCATTTTTTCTGTTCCTCTTCTGTTTCCGGTGTTCTGGGAAGAGCCCTGAGCATCAAGCACCTTACTGTGTGGGGTTTAGGATGCTATCCTTCATGCACCACCAAGCACAGGGCCTCGAGTAAGAATTTAAGACTCAGAAAGAAACCCAATTTGAATGTCGGCCTGACACACTGATCACTTCAACTAGAAATTGGAGCGCCTCAGAGGAGGCAGGATGCTGGTTGGACGGGCTCACCGAACTCCAAGTCATTGATGTTGCAGTGGAATACAACTTCCTCATTCACCACGAGTTCCACCAAGTTCCGCTCTTCTATCTTCTCCAGGATGACGTGGTGTCCATCTTTGGCCAACACAACTGGAAAAGATGGAGAAGGACATGAGTGACCCCATGTCACTGTTCCCATAATAGACTCCCAGTTCAGCAGACGTGCAGATGTCCTCGTGGATGACAGCAGCTGGTCTGCTGTCCAGTTGCCCATGGCTATAACTCAACCGCCCTGGGGGGCACCTACCTGGTGCTGGCCTCCACGTGCCCTCAGCTTTGCCGGGAAGCACAGACAGAGACCTGAGCAATTCAGGCTTTGGTTGCCATTTGCCCCCGCGCCATGTGATCTGTTAAAATATGAGCTTTCTTTAGAAAGAGTTTTTGAGCTTTTCTTATAGAGACAATATTCAACGTTGAAGGAGATTTGGGAAATGAGGTAACCTCTTAACCTTGCTGGTGGAAATATAAATTGGTCACCCTTCTGAATGGCAGTTTGACAACACCTGCCAAAACCCTCAAAAACTTTAAAATAAATCAGAATTAAAAAGTGATTCTAATCTCTGGCCAGGAAATTGTACTTGTAAGAAAGGTTTCTAAGGAAAAAAATCAGAAATACAGGCAGATTTTTGCAACAAGATGTTCCTTTCTGTAGTATTATAATAGCAGAATAGTGTGAATAACTTACATGCCCAATAACAAGAGGATGGTCAAGTAAATGGTGGTAAGTCCATATGATGAGATTTTATTTGGACATTTCAAAAAATGTTTATGAATTTTTAATAGCAAGAAAAATATTTTTAATATAAGCAAAAAATCAGGGTATACATATAACATATATTAAAATATATATTCAACATTAATTAAAATATGTATACATAATAGGAAAAAAGAAGAAAATACCCAGTGGTTCTCTCTCTGTGTTGAGATTATGAGAAACTTTTTCCTTTTTATTCTTTTAGCATTTTCCAGATCTTCTATAACAATCAGAAAACAATGTTTTTGAAAAAAGCTAATGGACTAAGCTTTTATTCTCATCTCTGGAATCTGCATTTTGGTTATGCTTTTGAATTATGAATTACATTGAATTATGGCTCCTTCCCCAGAGATCGGCTACAGAAAAGTGGTTAGATTTCTTCTCTATTGTGGAAATGCGAGAGTAGATGGATTTAGGAGAGATGACAGGCATTGAACAGCCCGGGAGCTCTATTTTCTCCAACATGTTTGTCCCCAGTTTTCTCGCTATGTTCACCCCGTCACATTGGCGTTGGAGCTGATGACGGAAGTCACCACCTTTGGCAGCCTTCACACACCAGTGAGGATTTTGGTTAGGCTGGAAAGTGAAATCAGCTAGTGGGCATGTTTTTAAAAGTCTTAGCATTTCCATCGTCTTAGGTGGAGAAAAGCAGACAGTTATGTCAGTTAGTTGCATTTAATTACAGAGACAATTGCTCTTTCAAAATGTTGGCGTGTCCACTTCTTCCTCTTTCAATCAGTTCGAGAACATCCAGCCCCAACTGTGAACATTTTAATTGCGTGATTTTAATTTCACTTCTGGAAAGGAACTTCAGAAAGCAACTCAGCGTGGATCACCATTAACAAGAGAGCGCTCCTTGGGCACCCAGGGGCAGCCCTAATTGACCTCGCGTCAGCTAAAGCCTCTTTCTACAGAACACTCGCATCTTTTTCTTTGACATATTTATGCTGTTGTATCCTATTTAAGTGTCTTGTTCCTAAGCATCTTTGGAGGAAGGCGCTCGGCTTGGACCAACGACTTGTTTAAAGGAAGCAGTCCACCCAGTTTGGAATGGCCAGCGGTTGGTCTGGGAACCATAAAGGCAGTCTCCAGGCGTCCTATACTCCCCCCAGCAGCGCCCCCTCAGGAGAGGACAGGTATAGCTGGAGAGGGCAAAGCCGCAAGTGGGTAGGTGGGAGGCAATTCGGCCCCTACGACCTTGGCTTTGCCTTATCTGAAGATGGTCCTGGGCAATGTACTTCAACTTGATAGGCAGAAATCAGGAACAAAACAGCTTCTCCACTCCTACCTTACGCCCCACCTCTGGGGGCATGGTGCTGCCTCCATCCTGCTAACACCCAACACCAGCTCTCTAAGACCCGGGGGTTCTGGAGCGAAGGAGGGCTCAGGTCCCATCTGGGGCCCATCACAGTGACCGCAGTGCAAGTGAGGAGGGGGCTTTGCTGGAGGAGCCCCAGGAACGCACGCACCCCTCAGCGTCCCACAGGTCTTTCCCTGCAGGGCTCATCTGACCCAGCCTTGTGCCCAAATAGCATCTGGGTTTGGGGTTTTTTTAGGAGAACAGCAGCACTGTTTCATGGCAAGGTGTGTCTAAGAAACAGGGTTTGATCCACTGAATAACCCACCCTGTGGAGGTGGGGGGTGCAGAATAATGGGGTTCTGCCTCATGTCTCAGCAAACGAAGCCCAGCAGGAAGAAATCCTCTTAAGAGAGCACGTCACTCTTCACTTTACCTTCTGTTCAGTCGCGAAGCCTGGGCTCTTGGGGCCTTTAAGGGCACATGCCTCTCTCATGGACCACAATCCGGCCCAAGTGCCTGGTGTTAATGGAGTTTGTCGAATCCACACGCTCCTAACTGCGCTGGGCACCTCCAATGGCTCTTTTGGACCCTGAGTGACCTGATTCTCATTAAAGCGAAAACCCCCTCAGAGTCTCCATTGTCTATTCACCCTCAGGACACCTGTCCCCTTCTCATCGGTGGAGGATGCGTTGAGCCCTGCTGTAGGGCAGCCAGCGCAGGCTTAAGGGATCAAACTCGGAGAAGCCCCAGCATTCCTGCAGCTCATCCAAATGCCACCTCTCTCCACGGAGGACCCATTTTTTTCCTATGAGCTGCTATGGGGTTGTCTATTCAAAGAAAGGTCAGATAAATAAACTCCTTGCAACAAAGTCTTTGCAAAGGCAGCGGCTCGACTCCAGCATAAATCAACCAGAAGCTGTAAGGCCACCCGCAGCACGCCTGCCTCTTTGAAGTGGCACCTCATTCTTCAAGGGGGATCTGGGGAAGCGGAAGGGACACGGAGGACCATCCCTCTTCCCAGTGCTGGCGGGACTGTGCACCATCTGTGAATGATTTAAAGGCTGCTGGGGAGGAAGTCAAGGCAAACGGACAGACAGGCATCTCCCCTCGTCCGCTAGCCACAGACGCAATGCTGACAACCACTAATGTGCGCAGCTAACCGAGAGCTAGTGACGGAGGAAGGCACCCCGAGCAGCTTCGCTCAATAAAGGCGGGTTCTCCTTTTATGGACCATTTTCTATTCCTTCTAGTTCCTTTTAGCGAGTCATTTGGCAGACTTACGTACAGCAGGCGAGGAGAAACCACGGCCAGGGAAAACGACTTCGACCTTTCTGTTAAGCATTAGTTGGTTTAGCTTCGTCAGTATTGAGGCCAGAGGAGAGACATTTTTGCTGAGCTATTATAATTCGTGGGTAATAAAGAACACAACTTTTCAGACCGCTTAAGGCGTAGCAAGTTCAGGAAAGACCAGGCACAGTTCCAAAACCAGCAGGCCTTCGGGAAATAATAAAGGGCTATAATTTTTAAAGAAATACCCAGAATTCAGATGCAGATTTTACAGACGAAGGCCTGCTGTGCACCTCTCGTGCTTGCTGTGGCGGCCTCCTCTGGTCTAAAGTGGTGGGTGGAGTGTGGGACAGAGATGGGGAGATGATGCTCCCTGATTTGCTTCCCTGGCACTTGTGATCGGCCCTCCGCAAATGTTGGCTACCAGAATTACAGGCATTATCATTCAGGGATATACAAAGCTGACAACAATCAGCCACCTGCTGACACCTTGCAACACTCAAGTCTCCTTCAACCATATGAGTTCTCCCCTTGATCTTCCCCAAATAGCCCCACCCCTATCTGTGCCCTTTGCTTCCTCATCTCTCCCCACTCCTTTTCCTCCTGCAGTCAGAATTTTCAGCCCACCCTCTCCTAAATCTGTGCTTTCGGAGGTGAACAACCATCAGCACACTCAATGGCTCGCTCGGTTCTCCCCGGCCCTCCCAGCAGGTTGACGCTCTGCCCTATCTCCTTTCTCGCTCCTTTAAAGTACTTCTGCTGGCAAAAGAAATATATTTTAAACTCTAAAATTTTATCAGATTATAAATGGAATGCAGACCCACGATTTTTTAAAAAACTGTAAAAATTCCCGCAAAGTTAAAGGACAGAATTTTAAAAGTCACCCGTAATTCTTCCCCCCTCTCCCTCCCTTTGTCTTTTTCAACAGAAGTGGGATCATAGTGTACATGGAATTCGGGAGCACGCTTTAGTCCCTGAACACTGTGTTGTGGCGATCCAGCCCTGTCAACATACAGAGATCTACTACATTGCATTTCACGCGATGCATGTACCGTAATTTATTCAGCCATTCCTTTTTCTGGTTGTTTCGAATGTTTCACTGTCACCAGAAACGCTGCAGAAAACATTCATGGGCGTGCCTCCCTGAACATTTGTGAATATATTTCATATATATATATGCATATGGAAGAACCGAAATAACTGGATTGTGCAATGTGTGATTAAATTTTAAGACACTGCCAAGTTGCCCTCAAAAGTGGCTGTGCCAATTTACCCTCCTAATGCAAGTCTTCAAGAATGCTCTTTTCTATATCCTTTACCAACCATAAATTCATCTTTTTCTAGAGATAACTCCTGCTTAACAGTTTGGTGCCCAATAACCATTTTCTTCTTGAAATTCTCCTCTCACCTGCCTCCTGTGCCTCCAGCTTCTCTCTGACCTCTGTGCCCCTCGGAGGGGCCCCTGCCAATTCCTGCCGTCTGCCCAGTTCTGTCTTTTCTTGCTTCCTCCACAGTCTCACGTCCTGTGGTCCCAGCATTCAGCTCCATGTGGCTTCATTTTAACTAATATTTATGGATCTTTAAGGCATGCCAGGCACAACTCCAGACACTGGGACGCAGCAGAGAACAGAAGAGACAAGAACCCCTGCTCCTCCGAAGCATCCATCCCAGCAGGAGAGAAGGATAACTAGGTACAAGGGTGAAATACGTGTTATGTTAGATACCTATGAGCATTAAGAAGAAATAAGAGAGGAGGGAAGGGAGATAAAGAAGAGGGAGGCAGAGGGAAGTGTTGACATTTTTGATGGGGATGCTTAAGGAAGGCCTGTCTACGAAGGTCTGAGAAGGACCTGAAGGCTGAGAGAGAGTGAAGAACGAAGATATGCAGGAATCTGGGGAAGCGTTATTCCAGGTGGAGCATCTGCCAAGCCCCAAGGTGAACGTCAAGGTCAGTGAAGAGGCAGGTGGCTGGGGCAGAGTGAGTGATTAGAGATGGAGGAAGTGAG